CAGATTTAACAAGGAGTGTAAGAACTGAAGAGGACTGTAAAGTGCTGCAAGAAGTCTTAGACAAACTTCAAGGATGGGCACATAACTGGCTGCTGAAATTCAATCCAAGTAAGGAAAATGAGAAGGAAGATAGAAGACCTGTATTTAAATACACCATAATTACAAGAAGCAATAAGAGTAAGGACCTGGAAGTAGACACAATCCCATCACCAGGAGCTCATGTTAACAGAATAACATCAGCAGCATATGGAAAATAATTAAACATAAGGACATCATTTAAAAATCTAAACAAGGAGGCTTTTAAGTCCAGAGGCCTAGTAGCACTCTACCATGTCCATGTAAGACTGGGGCATTGTTTAACCCCTCAAACTATCACTATCACCAAAATTATTATATTGAATGTGTGTGTGCATAAGATAAAATCATCATTTAGTTTATCATTATCTAGTTTTTCTTATTAAATGATAGATATATATTCAAAAGAATTTAAAAAACAAAATACACATTCGTATATATCTTATTTTGATTCATATTTTGGCATGAATGGTAGTCAACTGTCTTTCTGACATTTAACAGCATTACAATGTGATAAAAGCCAGGATCAAAAACTACAAAAACCAATGTTGAATGTAATGAAACGCCATTTTCTGAGTGAGACCTGGAGGCTTCCGGGAGCTATCCAGGCTGATAGGTATATTATTAGAAATTGGCATCAGTCAGTACGAATGGAGTTCTAGGCCTACCGGGGACTACAAGCCAAAACCTGGCCCCCCTCAGAGAGGCACAAGGAGCAATGGCCTATAGAAATGCACATGTGATTTGGAGCATTCTTTATCTGCCATCGACTGGGCCAGGCACCCAGAGGTAAGCATCTCAAAACAAGCCCTATTCTGGTTAAAACTATTACTGAAAACTAACGAATGAACAGAACTCTCCAATTGAAAACGAGCAAACGAGCATGACGTCACACGTGCCGCGCCGCTTGTCTGCGCAGCTTCTCCTTTCCCCAGAATGAGGAAGGGAAAGCCCCAGACCCCTTGTGCCAGCTATCCACTAGCCCCAGTTCGATTTTGGATGTCAAAACACGCAAAAAAAAAAAAACGCCAACCAAGGGAAGGGAGGGCTGCCGGGGAGCCTCCGGATCTCACCCAGAAAATGCTGTTTCATTACATTCAATGATGGTTTTCTTGGGGGAGCCCCTTCGGCTCCCTGGAGCTAACTACCGAAAACCAAGAACAAATGAGGGACAAACCCGGGAGGCGGTAACCATGCGCCCGAACCCAAAAGCAAGACAACTGGCAACACCAAATGACCCCGCGGACAACCCAGGAGACCTGAACCCTGGAACAGGGATGAAGGTAACCCGGGCAACCCAAAGTGCGTCCAGGGCTACAGAGGCCGTGGCACGCAGGCAATGGCTGAGAGCCACAACCGGACACAAGAAGATGCACCCTGGCCAACCAACCAAGCATCAGCAACCCCAGGGACCCCTCCGGAAAACAGCTGTCCCAACCTCGCCAGAAAAAGAGATGGCTGCAAATGAACAAACCAATCACCAGAACCCAAAGGAGCAGAAACCACTGAGAATCAAACCTGAATAGAAGGGGGGCCACAACAAACCGAGGGAAAGAGAGAGAAGAGAGCACCCTGTCCAAGACTAGGACAGCTCAGACTGCGCACGAGCAGGCCGGAGGTGAAACAACGCCTGAGACAGCTCGCAAAATGGTGCAAAAGGAACATCAAAACTGAAAGTAATCCGTAGTGGCTCCGTCAGCACCGCACGAGACAAGGCGACAGTATGTGGCAAGATACGGTCTTGAACGGCCACGAGAGAAAGACAAGACCACTTCAACAAAAAGCACAGTACAGTACAACCTTGATTCAACGTACCCCAATTCAACGAATCTCTGGCTAGTTCACACACTTTTCAGGCCGTATTTACTCACCCGGTTCAACGAACAATGGTTCACCGAAGAGGGGGATGTTCGGATTTGCTTAGACAGAGTTCACAGACTGATGGAAAACTTTCCCATTCTTTCACGGATTACAGCTAATAATTCCCTCATATGACAAGTTCTCATATGAACACAAATAAAAGTCCGTAGCCAGGGCCGTAAATCCTAGCTCCTCGCGTCCTAACGAAAATGAACTGTAGGGGGCAGGAGTGCTTGATTGGAAATCTACATCCACCTGCAGACATTGCAACACAGCAGCTTGTAGTGTTATACAAGGAGATGATGAAAGAACTCAGTTCTATAACTGAACACCGGTTCTGTTGAATATCAGAGAACTGAACATGTACATAGTCCAGCCGAGCACTATCATTAGTATAGTCAATATGCACATGCTAATAAAGACAACAATGTGTAGTATAGAGGTAGGAAAACATAAATATGCAATGAAAGTACCTTAAATATGGTCCAAGTACCGGTATCTAGGGACAAAAGAGTAAAATCAGTATGATGAACTAATATGACCTATCTTGAGGTTATCTTGAGATGATTTCGGGGCTTTAGTGTCCCCGCGGCCCGGTCCTCGACCAGGCCTCCACCCCCAGGAAGCAGCCCGTGACAGCTGACTAACTCCCAGGCACCTATTTACTGCTAGGTAACAGGGGCATTCAGGGTGAAAGAAACTTTGCCCATTTGCTTCTGCCTCGTGCGGGAATCGAACCCGCGCCACAGTATTACGAATCCTGCGCGCTATCCACCAGGCTACGAGGCCCCCTAGGGGCTAGGGAGCAATTGGTAACTTAATGTACATGATCAACTATATATACAGAGAGATTCCAATGTATATATAAGGGTGCAGCCAGACATTGAATGACGGTCAATGAATGAGCGTCCAGTCAAGAAAAGATTCAGTCGCTGAAAGATTAAATCAAAAGTTACTGAAATTCGGGGCTGTGTCCCACAGTGTAACGAATAACTATATATATACGGACATATTAAGGTTATGTTAAGATGCATGCAATTTGGCTAATCAACATACTACAAACAATACCCAACACTCATCCAAAAATCGAGAACCTAATACAGTATACGGACTGGCTGACGGTGTCGCCAGACCATATAATCTCTCCTGTAGTGCAGAGGCATTATAGTCACGACACAGCTTAGCCGTGTAATATTCTGGGAGCATCGCTAGTGGATTATGTCCTGAGTTGTGTGTGCAGTAGGATAAGATTAGGTGTAGTGTAGAGGTGGAGGCGGCATCACTCCAAGCCACCCTATACCTACATTCAGAGAAAAGAACTAGGAATTTTCCTTATATAAAATCCAGAACTCTCCCAGGATCTAGGAAGCTATGACTGGAGAGATAAGATTAGTTAGTGTGGCGTATTACCCGTGATAAAGGTCACGGAACACCAACACATGTTTACACCATCCAGAAACAAAACGATCTCCCTCGGGTCATGCTCAGGACACATGAGGTCTGAGCTGGCTCCTCCCGTCTTTTGGGGAGGGTAGCCTACAATGTTTATTTATCGATTATTTTTTATTGCCGAGACAGATTACCGAGATGTGATTATAAAATAATTAGATATAGTATTGAAAGATGACAAGTAGTACTGAAGAGTACCAACAAGTCCTATAATGGACTGGAGGTAATCCTCACCAGAAATTGACAGATGCTCCAATAATTTTTTTTAATTAACAAAGTTCTTCTTGAACCATCGGAATCCTTGATGTTCGAGCACAAAATCATGGAGGCTCATATGGGCCCATTGGCATACGTGACCAATGGTCATGCAGGATCTCGATACGATTCGAACATGATTGCAAACATATATGTCCTAGATAATAATGTTGAGAAAGTAGTTAAAATTACCCACAGGAAGGACAGAACTGATGGACCCGAAGGGACACAGAACCGAACCCGGGGAGGGGCTGACACCAAAACCAACTCGTACGTAGAAGAGGGGGGAGGAGGTAAACCCCCCACTCCATATAACAGTAAGCCCCACTCAGAGGGTAGGAAAACCCAGGCACAGTCCAATGGGGCTCAAGGCCCCCAACCCCCGGGAACCTCCACACCACGTGTGACGTCATGCTCATTTGCTCATTTTCAATTGGGAAGTTCTGTCCACTCGTTAGTTTTCAATTGTAGTTTTAACCAGAATAAAGGTATGTTTTGAGGCGCTTAACTTTCTGGGTGCCTGGCCCGATCGATGGCAAACACAGAATGCTCAAAATCACATGTGCACTTCTATAGGCCATTGCTCCTTGTGGCTCTCTGAGGGGACCAGGTTCTGGATCGTGGTCCCTGGTAGGCCTAGAACTCCACTCACACTGACTGATACCAAAGTCTAATAATATACATATCAGCCTGGATAGCTCAGGGGAGCCAAAGGAGCTCCCCCAGAAAAGTTGTTAATATTTAAATTAAATATATTCAAACGTAAGGAATCTGTATGCAAAAGTAAAAATGATACAAAATAAATATGTACACTGAAGATCTATACAGTATATTGGCCAGGCAAGTACAGTAATTGTCATATACTGATGGGAGACCAACCACTGAAGTCTTTCTGACTCCAAATTATTTTGTGGCTTGCCATAAATGCTGGGAAACATCAATAAGCTATTGGAACTACATGAGGTCACATTGGTACTCAAGCACTGATGCAAGATGTACATCATCATTTGACAATGACCACACTGCACTAGACGATTATTACATGACGATAACCTCACTCTGAGGGGTTAAGAGAGTAACTAAGCAGAGAAAGCTTAGAAAGAACAATAACTGCTTAATTGTCAAATATTAGTTGATTTGTTTCATGTTTTACTTCATATTCTGGTTCAGAGAATACAAGGACATGCTCCACTGGATGACTACATTTATTTTGTTGTTGCAACCAATCCAAACACTCTTACTACCAGAACAGAATCCTCCCACTAAATGTGGCTCTCTGCTAGACCCAGTTCAGTTTGAATGAGAGTCCACTGTAAATGCTATATTTATTTGTATATCAACAAAATCTTAAATTGGCTTACCTTTCAGCAAATTTTGCAAGATTCTGGAGTACTGACATTCCTAATGTAGGATTTACACCCTCCAGATTCATGAGATCAGCCAACTGGAGGCCCTTAAGTCCAGGTGGCAATGATGGAAGACCACCATCTAAAACTCCAGGGATTGGTGGCTCTGGTGTTCCTAATGATCCAATAGAACGTGGAATAGGAGTGATTGTAATTTCTGGTCTCTTTGCCAAATCAGCTGGGATTGTGTTGCCTTCCTTCTTTGTATTCACCTTCGGAACCTATAAATAGTCATATACTCAGACGTAAATCATGATAAGTGATGAGATAATGATATATATATAATTTATGAATGCCAAACTGGAGTGCTTTTTCCTCAAGGATGTTTTGTGCACCTACACAAAACATTCAATAATTAGGTTGACCAGACCTCACACTAGAAAGTGAAGGGACGACGACATTTTTGGTCCCCACAATCGACTTGAGAATGGTCCAGGACGGACCGAAACGTCGTCGTCCCTTCACTTTCTAGTGTGTGGTCTGGTCAACATAACTTCAGCCACATTGTGACTCATCGCCTGCATTCAATAATTAGATTATAATATAAACATTTTAGGTCCTTGGTTAACTATCATAAGGTTTAATAAAAACTAAATATCTAACACCAGAAGTTAAAATACATTTATCCAAAAATTGTATGCAATTTTTAATTAAACTCGGCAAGCATTGAAAGCATGGCTATTAAGCAATGTCTAAATAAATACTGAATAAGGGTTGCTACTCAGTACTAGTTATTGTATTCTGGAAGTGTTGGTCATCAATAACTGTACTTCAGCACCCAGACAAGTAAATGAGAGAAATACTCTGCCAGTGGTAATACCTACATTTCCTCCTTCAATTAGATTGTAACTCTTCACTTCCAATTTAACTTTATGGCACTTATAAACCTGCTCTCATGCTTCCACTGACCCCCACCCAAGTATCGTCCACTGACCCCACCCAAGCATCGTCCACTGACCCCCACCCAAGCATCGTCCACTGACCACCCCCCACCCAAGCATCGTCCACTGACCCCTACCCAAGCATCGTCCACTGACCCCCCCACCCAAGCATCGTCCACTGACTCCCACCCAAGCATCGTCCACTGACCCCACCCAAGCATCGTCCACTGACCCCACCCAAGCATCATGCATCATCCACTGACCCCCACCCAAGCATCGTCCACTGACCCCACCCAAGCATCGTCCACTGACCCCACCCAAGCATCGTCCACTGACCCCACCCAAGCATCATCCACTGACCCCACCCAAGCATCATCCACTGACCCCCACCCAAGCATTGTCCACTGACCCCCACCCAAGCATCGTCCACTGACCCCACCCAAGCATCGTTCACTGACCCCACCCAAGCATCGTCCACTGACCCCACCCAAGCATCATCCCCTGACCCCCACCCAAGCATTGTCCACTGACCCCCACCCAAGCATCGTCCACTGACCCCCCACCCAAGCATCGTCCACTGACCCCCACCCAAGCATCGTCCACCACCCGCTATAATGACCAGCCTACACACCACCACCTGCTATAATGACCATCCTACACACCACCACCCACTATAATGACCATCCTACACACCACCACCCACTATAATGACCATCCTACACACCATCACCACCAACTATAATGACCATCCTACACACCATCACCCACTATAATGACCATCCTACACCCCACCACCCACTATAATGACCATCCTACACACCAACACCACCCACTATAATGACCATCCTACACACCACCACCCACTATAATGACCATCCTACACACCACCACCACCAACTATAATAACCATCCTACACACCACCACCAACAACTATAATGACCATCCTACACACCACCACCCACTATAATGACCATCCTACACCCCACCACCCACTATAATGACCATCCTACACACCACCACCACCACCACCAACTATAATGACCATCCTACACACCATCACCAACTATAATAACCATCCTACACACCACCACCCACTATAATGACCATCCTACACCCCACCACCCACTATAATGACCATCCTACACACCCACTATAATGACCATCCTACACACCATCACCACCCACTATAATGACCATCCTACACACCACCACCCACTATAATGACCATCCTACACACCACCACCCACTATAATGACCATCCTACACACCACCACCCACTATAATGACCATCCTATACACCACCCACTATAATGACCATCCTACACACCATCACCACCCACTATAATGACCATCCTACACACCACCACCCACTATAATGACCATCCTACACACCACCCACTATAATGACCATCCTACACACCACCACCCACTATAATGACCATCCTACACACCACCCACTATAATGACCATCCTACACACCACCACCACCACCCTCTATAATGACCATCCTACACACCACCACCAACTATAATGACCATCCTACACACCATCACCACCCACTATAATGACCATCCTACACACCACCATCACCCACTATAATGACCATCCTACACACCACCACCCACTATAATGACCAGCCTACACACCACCACCCACTATAATGACCATCCTACACACCACCACCCACTATAATGACCATCCTGCACCCCACCACCCATTATAATGACCATCCTACACACCATCACCACCCACTATAATGACCATTCTACACACCACCCACTATAATGACCATCCTACACACCATCACCACCCACTATAATGATCATCCTACACACCACCACCCACTATAATGACCATCCTACACACCATCACCACCCACTATAATGACCATCCTACACACCACCACCCACTATAATGACCATCCTACACACCACCCACTATAATGACCATCCTACACACCACCCACTATAATGACCATCCTACACACCATCACCACCCACTATAATGACCATCCTACACACCACCACCCACTATAATAACCATCCTACACACCACCACCCACTATAATGACCATGCTACACACCACCACCCACTATAATGACCATCCTACACCCCACCACCGACTATAATGACCATCCTACACACCACCACCCACTATAATGACCATCCTACACACCATCACCACCCACTATAATGACCAGCCTACACACCACCACCCACTATAATGACCAGCCTACACCCCACCACCCACTATAATGACCATCCTACACACCACCACCCACTATAATGACCATCCTACACACCACCACCCACTATAATGACCATCCTACACACCATCACCACCCACTATAATGACCAGCCTACACCCCACCACCCACTATAATGACCATCCTACACACCACCACCCACTATAATGACCATCCTACACACCACCACCCACTATAATGACCAGCCTACACACCACCACCACCCACTATAATGACCATCCTACACACCACCACCCACAATAATGACCAGCCTACACACCACCACCACCCACTATAATGACCATCCTACATACCACCACCCACTATAATGACCAGCCTACATACTACCACCACCCACTATAATGACCATCCTACACACCACCACCCACTATAATGACCATCCTACACACCACCACCCACTATAATGACCAGCCTACACACCACCACCCACTATAATGACCATCCTACACACCACCACCCACAATAATGACCATCCTACACACCACCACCCACAATAATGACCATCCTACACACCACCACCCACTATAATGACCATCCTACACACCACCACCACCCACTATAATGACCATCCTACACACCACCACCCACTATAATGACCATCCTACACACCACCACCCACTATAATGACCATCCTACACACCACCACCCACTATAATGACCATCCTACACACCACCACCACCCACTATAATGACCATCCTACTCACCACCACCCACTATAATGACCATCCTACACACCACCACCCACTATAATGACCATCCTACACACCACCACCACCCACTATAATGACCATCCTACACACCACCACCCACAATAATGACCAGCCTACACACCACCACCACCCACTATAATGACCATCCTACATACCACCACCCACTATAATGACCAGCCTACATACTACCACCACCCACTATAATGACCATCCTACACACCACCACCCACTATAATGACCATCCTACACACCACCACCCACTATAATGACCAGCCTACACACCACCACCCACTATAATGACCATCCTACACACCACCACCCACAATAATGACCATCCTACACACCACCACCCACAATAATGACCATCCTACACACCACCACCCACTATAATGACCATCCTACACACCACCACCACCCACTATAATGACCATCCTACACACCACCACCCACTATAATGACCATCCTACACACCACCACCCACTATAATGACCATCCTACACACCACCACCCACTATAATGACCATCCTACACACCACCACCACCCACTATAATGACCATCCTACACACCACCACCCACTATAATGACCATCCTACACACCACCACCCACTATAATGACCATCCTACACACCACCACCCACTATAATGACCATCCTACACACCACCACCACCCACTATAATGACCATCCTACACACCACCACCCACTATAATGACCATCCTACACACCACCACCCACTATAATGACCATCCTACACACCACCACCACCCACTATAATATCTGCAGACAAAACTTTTGATAAACATTTCTGGAAATAAATACCTTTTTAACCTGCAACAATTCCAAGAAAATCTAAATACTTTTTTCTGACTATAGAATAAATGTGATTAATATTTATAACATTCACATTCAGAATATTCAGGTGAAAACTTAAAGGAGTGGAAATTGTCTGCCATTATAGTTGTGAGCTGTTGTGGGAACAAGCAACTACGGTGTTTCTAAATGCATGTACTAATTAAGTGTTATTTATTTGGTAATAATAACAACCGTGAACTTGTCGTATACAGTAAATTAATTCTCGTTTATCATTTTAATAACAATGCTTACGCAAGGAGTACACATCAATCTTGGAACCATTTCTCATTTTAAGCAACACAAAGTGTTTGAGCAAATCATGCAAAATAGTTAGCTTAATTTTATGTCATGCAGAATGCAAGATTGTTAAGTATACTGCAATGAAGGAAAAAAAACAATTAGTCAAGATGCACAACATTTACACAGCAGGCAAGAGAAGATGACCTATAGGTAATAAGGGGTTCATGTACTCTACACACCATATCTTCAGCATTAGTCTAGTATTTATTGGGGCCTACACTAACTAAACACTGCACTTCTTGCTAATTTGTTTTATAGCTTGAAGGTTCTCCATGTAAATTTCACATACAAAATACCCTTCAATGAAGAAGTCAAAATCTGCTCTTTTATGTAAAAAGTTATTTTATATTGATTGTTGGAGATGATGAATACACATTGCTAGGATTATGCTCCATGTGATGCCCAGTGGGCAGGGATCAAGCAGAAGGTGGGGTTAGGGCATACCAAGCCAGGTCACCAGGCAGCGGCAGCAGGCTGTGAGAGGGCACCGCAGGTCAACTTACCGCCAGCTCTGTAGGTGTTGTCGGAGGACTGATAGAGGTGGGTGGTGCAGGGCTGGCTTGGGGTGGTGTACCCACGGGTGGTGAGGCACCTAAAGACCCAGAGGGAGGCCCACTGGGTAACCCATGTGCCTCCTGTACCCCACCATGGTGACCAGGAGGAATGTGGGGAGGCAGCAGCTGGGGACAGGTGCCCCCAAACTTGAGAGAGGGCTTGGTGTCACTTGGCACATGCTGCTGTGAAAAATAACACCCATCATGCACCACCACTCCCGCCACATTCCTCGTCATCTTCACTTTATCCTTTGCCCAAACATCGAGCAAACAACTTACACAGTACTCATTTTTTTTATTCTTTGCCACCTTATATGTTATCTAAGATAACCCTTCATAACACGTTTCTCCATCCACCCAACCAAAAATAAGGTTCATGCTCTCGGGAAACTACACCAACACACTGATTCATCGACGACTTGTATACAGGATAAGCTTTTATACAAAACAAAGTTTTAAGAAAATTACTCTCATTTTGTTACTAAAATTTAGACATAAAAATTTATGCCCATTCCTTTTATTCAAGTATATACCAACTTTAAGTTGATAAAAGTAAATTTACTTTCATAATATCATGTCCTACTTTCTAAGCAAAGTTGCAAAATCTTCAAATTACGTTCACTGCAGGCATCTAAGGCTTCCAAGACACAACACTCCAGTTCAAGGCTTCCAAGACATATTGGTGGTATGGCTGGGAGTGATTCCTTTAATATGTATGTGTATGTTTGTGTGTGTAATTACCTAAGTGTAGTTACAGGATGAGAGCTACGCTCGTGGTGTCCCGTCTTCCCGGTACTCTGTCATTTAACGCTTTGAAACTACTGACAGTTTTGGCCTCCACCACCACCTCACCTAACTTGTTCTAACTATCTACAACTGTTTGTTTGCAAAAGAAAACTTTCTAATATTTTTTTGGTACCAATATTTTTTCATGAACTAGGATTTTCATGAACTTTAGTATTTCGCCATCCATGTAATTAAAGAGAGATTTCAAAGTTTGAAAGCGCAGCATATGCTCCTCACACAATATTCTTTGTGTGTTCCTCTGGTGGCAGTCTACAATTCAGAACCCCCCCCCTCTATCTTTGTCTTTCTCTCATCATTCCAGAACTGAAGTGGTGGGTTGACAGCTCACCTGGGCCAGCTACCCCTCCCCACTTAAGAGGTGGGGAAAATGCTAATGAGCGGGGCTAGTTGGATGAAGTGTTGCTTGTTTGTTTTCTTAATGGGGGCGTTCTTTTGCTCTTTTGAGGACGTAGCTTATAATTTTTAACCAGACAGCGGTCTGTTTTGATTCGCCTACCTTTCTGGGTCCTTCCCCGTGTCAATGGCAAGTAAGACATACTTTAAATGTAAAGTGTTCATAGGCTATTGCTCCCTGCACCTCTCTGAGGGAGCCCGGTTCTGGCTCATAGTCTCCGGTAGGCATAAGAACTCTGTGACCAATGAATGACCCCAACTAATATAGCACTATATTGTTTTGGATAGCTTCGGGGAGCCGACGGGGCTCCATACAGAAATGATCTGAATGTTACCCTGACCCACCACTTCCTTTTTAATTCTGGCGACCCTGACCAGCCTACGTTCATTCCGTACCCAAGATCATTCCTTTTGTCAATTTCGGTGAGGCTAACTCCAACCGTGTGGCTCCTAACTTCCAACACACAGTCATTCTCTCATAGCTTATGTGTACATTTTATTTATATATATATATATATATATATATATATATATATATATATATATATATATATATATATATATATATATATATATATATATATATATTAATTACAGTATATATGTTGTATCTAGTAGCCAGAATGCAATACTCAGCCAACTATGCAAGGCCCAATTTGCCTAATAAGCCAAGTTTTCCTGAATTTATATATTTTTCAAATCTTTTCTTATGAAATGATAAAGCTATCCATTTCACTATGTATGAGTTAATGCTTTTCAATTTGCATTAAAACTAATGTTGATATATGATCAAACCTAACCAACCCTACCTAACCTAACCTATCTTAACCTAACCTAAACTAACAAAACTAAGTCAATAATTTATGTTTTTAATATAATATAATAATAATATTTCAAATAAACCATTTGGAAACAATTTATGGAAAATAAAGAAAATCCCTCAGCCTATTAGGCAAAACGGGCCTTGCATAATAGGCCGAGAAGTGCGTTCTGGCTACTAGGTACGATATTACACACACACACACACACACACACACACACACACACACACACACACACACACACACAGTATACGGGTACACAGTACAGTATATATACATATATATGCAGAAAATACACAGAGAAAAGGGAAAGGGAGATGAACGTTTCGGCCGATCAAAGCCGTTGTCAACACCAGACTGACTAAGAGAAAACGTAGGGAGGGTGGAGGCCAACAACTGGAACCTGACCACCCACCCACAGGGAAAGAATTACCCAGAAACAGGTATAGATTAGCTTAGACTGGTCAGAAGGATTAAGCGGTCATTGAATATGTATGAAAGATCAAAGAAAAAACCTCATTGAACACACATATATTATTATTATAATATTGTAATGAGACATTGTAACCCTCCTTATCAGAGTTTTTTCTTAAACTGTTGTGCAATATTGTAACTTAAAAATGGGACAAGTTTGTACTGGTATGTACAAACTTGACCCATTTTTAAGTTACAATATTGCACAACATTTTAAGAAAAAACTCTGATAAGGAGGGTTACAATGTCTCATTACAATATTATGTGTGTGTTCAATGAGGCTTTTTCTTTGATCTTTTATACTTAATTTTCTGACCGCTTAATCCTTCCGACCAGTCTAAGCTAATTTATACCTGTTTCTGGGTAATTCTTTCCCTGAGGATGGGTGGTCAGGTTCCAGTTGTTGGCCTCCACCCTCCCTTTGTTTTCTCTTAGTCAATCTGGTGTTGACAACAGCTTTGATCGGTCGAAACGTTCATCTCCTTTTCCCATTTCTCTGTGGATTTTCCACATACAAATGATCAGTGTTTTGTGATTGTCAATTGCATACATATATATTCTTCTAAGATTACCTACTACTAACTACATTTTTTAAAATATAAGATTAACAAAAAATGTACATTAATACTGAGAACCCTTGTGGACCTTAGGTCTTTACCTACTTCAATTTCAAAAGCACACATAATGTGAAGATTAAAAATAGAAAATGTTCTTGATGTTATACCATCATGCTAAGTGAAGAAACATCTAGGATTCATTCCACTGTATTAGTGAGAAGCTACTTAGAAGATGAACATAAACCCCTGAAAAATAGATATACAGTACTGTAAACTAAAAATACTGAGAATTGTCAACCATGCTAAAGATTTTCTACAGAGGTCAGAAAAAGTCGCATCACACTACTGGTAAGTTATGTAATAGGCAGGATATTACTATACAACCAAAATATGAAAATAATGAAATGCACAATGAATGGTCAACAAGAATGGAGGATTTAAAATTATATCATCCAGCAAGAAAAAGTAGAAAATATGAAACCACACTTTATTTACAGAAAATATTACCAATGGAGATGTAGGCACAATATCTGACTGACAACCACTGGATACCATTTTATAGTTTTAAACATGTTCAATATAACATTTATTTTCAGGCGATGTCATTTGTGTATTTTGTTTCCAGCAGACCTTTAGAAGAAAGACCTCACCTGTTTCAGAACCTAAATTACTCTAATGATTCATTTTGAACGTGTTCCTATTAATGTGTTTATGTCCGAATTAATTTTATATTATAAAGCCTAACAAATGTACTGTTATTGTACACCTGAAATATTTGTTTATATATATAAGAAATACACAGTGCCTACAAATTCTGCCATGAAGGAATTATTATTTAATTGGTAAAGCTGTGAAGAAGTAATAACTAATACTCAGAACTCAACTCACCTGAAGAATGGATACAGAGGGTTCCCCTGGCTCAGACTTAACCTTTGTCGCCTTTGTTGAACCAATTCCTAAGAGTTTCTTTTGTTCTTGTAGCAAGAACTTCTCATAAGGTAACAATAATCTGGAAATAAATGAGACACTTGGTATGAGTGAAAGGGATGAGGGAATCAAATGTGGAGTAGGTGAAATACAATTTAATTAGATAGTATGAACTTTTAGTAGGATGCCTGAGAATCATTTAGCAAGTTCTGTACAAGGGGGAAAATAATGGGATCATATGGTCGAGGAAGATGGCCAGCATCTTGGAAGGGAAGAGTGTAACAACCTGATAAATGTATATGTATACATCTTTGCCACTAATCAACACCCTACCAGTTGTTATATATTCACATGTAAATCTTTGCAACTTCATGCATGGTGTACCACCACACTCATGTTGCTACTTCATTCACTGGTAACACTTGTAATTAATTACCTAAGTAATTACCTAAGTGTAGTTACAGGATGAGAGCTATGCTCGTGGTGTCCCGTCTTCCCAGCACTCTGTCATATAATGCTTTGAAATTACTGACGGTTTTGGCCTCCACCACCCTCTCACCTAACTTGTTCCAACCATCTACCACTGTTTACAAAAGTGAATTTTCTTATATTTCTCCGGCAGCTTTGTTTCGTTAGTTTAAATCTATGACCTCTTGTTCTTGAAGTTCCGGGTCTCAGGAATTCTTCCCTATCAATTTTATCGATTCCTGTTACTATTTTGTACGTAGTGATCATACCGCCTCTTTTTCTTCTATCTTCTAATTTTTGCATATTTAATGCCTCTAACCTCTCCTCGTAGCTCTTGTTCTTCAGTTCTGGGAGCCACTTAGTGGCATGTCTTTGCACCTTTTCCAGTTTGTTGATGTGCTTCTTAAGATATGGGCACCATACAACCGCTCCATATACAGTACGACTGAATACAGAATAGGTACTGACTTATTTACAGGACAGAGACATGTTCAGAAACAGTGATTTCTTCCTTAATTCTACATGTAAGTTAGTATACTCTTCCCCTAGCCCAAAAGCTACTTTCCAACTAACTTGTTCACTATAGAAATATTTTGCTGAGCACTCAGATAAGCCCCACCTCTTCTGAAAAAGAGCCACTCATACGCAATATTTCAAACACCCTAGGTCTATCTATTACAGACTAGCCAATCATAGTACAGTATACTGTTTGAGAGAAAATTAATGATACCCTGACCAACAATTCTTGAAAACAAGTCATTATAGCTACTAATGACCTGTAATTACCACTGACAGCGTTGGTTGAAGGCTCATGAGACCTTAGATTGTAGCAGCATATGTATTGATAAGGGGGGATGGGGTAGGGATTGGGACTTGCACACTTTGCTAGTAATCAACACAGCCCAAATTTAAAATCCTTTCATAATCTGCCAAGAAAGCTGAAAATAAATATGGCTAATTATTCAACACTAAATATAACCTATACAAACATTTATGCCATTCTGCAAGTCAGATTTTGCAATATGAATCAGCAGTTGACATAAATTTCTTTAAATGCAATTATGAAGAAATATGAGAAAAATTCATATATATTACTGGCTCTATTATGAAATCCCTTAGGTCAAAATTGTTTAGATTATTCGTTTGGTGCCCTATGCTGTTGCCTCTTTTCGTTTAGCCTAGGGGAGCACCTCCTGCTTGTTTTTGGGGTTAGTCTGTTTTCTGCCCCCATTCTTCATATTGCCTCTGGCATTCTTTGCCCTCTGAATGGCTCTTTCCCCTACAAAATCTTTGTGTTCATTGGGTTATGTTCCTGCCTTTTATTTCTCCTTGTTTTCAGGTTTTCCCTCCTCCTCTATCTGTGTTCTGTGTGGCTTTTGGTTCAGTTAGATTTGGCTTGTTCCATATTTTCTGATGAAAGTTGGGCTTTCACCTTTCATAGCAGTGTTTTGATGTTTGTTGCTTGGTTTCTCAGAACCATGAATCTGTGACCCTCTTTGTCCCTGTAGTAGCTGTCTGTTGCTCTTGTGAGGTTCAGATGGCTACATTGGTTGTTAAGTCTCCTACAACAGTATTTGTTTGTTCCCAACAGTCTGCTGTGTTGTTCAGTTGTGCCAGCTAGCTCTTCCCATTATCCACAGTCTTGAGGTCTTATCTGCAATTTTAGCATTGTGTTCTTGCCTACTTTTCAGGCTCATGTTCTTGGCACTCTTCTTAAGTACTCATAGCTTGCTTTATGGATACTGTTCCTGGATAGCACCAGGCTTGCAATGTGTTGGGGTAAAATGTGTGCCTTTTGCATTTTGGAGGACAGTCTTGCCATTTTTCCTTTTCTCTGTATTGACATAGATCAGGGAACTAGAGAGGCCCTCCTAGAAACCCAATCTTGATCCTAATAAAATGCCTCTTTCTTGACGGTCCCTCAGCAGCTCCCCATTCCCACCCTTACCCTCCTTTCTACTGATTTGCCTGTCATGCTTTGGGGTGGTGTAAGAATTATGAGGTATTCAACTTGGCTCCCTGGTGACCTGTGCTGCCATCTGGATGTGATCAGCACAGTTAACTACTGTTTACTTATTCAGTGTCAGTGTTGCCAATGTGATCCATGCAATTGTCTATTTTGGTGAACAGTATTCTACCTTTATGGTGGTCTCTCTCTTGGTTAATGTGGTGGTCCTTGACCACCAGACTTCTCCTCCCTCTACTGAGAGGGCCAGATTCTGGTACAGGTCTTCTGTAGGAGATGTGTATGTGAATTTGCATACTAGACCAGTAGAGAGTAATTACAGCAGCACATTTAGTATCTTGAGTATGTAAATGTAGAATAATTAATTAAAAGTTAGTGAATGAAAACTGATGAGCAGGCTTTTAATTTTTCTGGATTTGCATGAGTAATGTAACTTAAGAAAAAGTTATAGTAAGTGTGTGAGGGCTATGCCTTTGAAACCTTCTATGTACTCATCAGTGAGGTAAGCTGGCAGACACAGTGTGTTCCAGACATTGGCTGGTGGCCCAGTATGACATGTCCCTACCCAAATTTGAAGGAACAGATTGATAAACTTAATTTCAGTTGATCTTTGAGTATTATATGAAAGACTTTTAATGTTAGTAATATTACTTTGGGTTATAGATGATGGATTGTCATTCATTGCTGTTAATGTAATAAGTTAGAACTGGTATTCATTGTAAATGTGGCAACAACCAGACATAGAAAGTCAGCAGCCCATCCTCCTGTTTAGGCAGTACTTATAGTAATGATCTAAAGCATCTAAACTACTGGGACCGACTAAAATGCCTAAATCTATATTCTCTTGAGCGCAGGCGGGAGACACACACAATAATTTACACATGGAAAATATTAGAGGGGCTGGTCCCAAACCTGCACACAGAAATAACACCACACGAGACCAGAAGGCATGGCAGGATGTGCACAATACCCCCATTGAAAAGCAGAGATGCAATAAGTACTCTGAGAGAGAACTGTATCAACATCAGAGGCCCGAGACTGTTCAACACGCTTCCACTACACATAAGGGGCATAACTGGCCAACCCCTCACAGTGTTCAAGAGAGAACTTTATAAACACCTCCAAAAAATAACTGATCAACCAGGCTGTGACTCATATACATCAGGTTGCAAGCAGCCAAGTCCAACAGCCTGGTTGACCAATCCAGAAACGAGGAGGCCTGGTTGACGACCGGGGCCACAGGGATGTTAAGCCCCGAAATCATCTCAAGGTAACCTCAAGGTAAGGTAACGATGAGGACCATTGTACATACATTGATGTAAAAGGCAATTAGAAAGTAGAAATCAGTACTACTGAATTTATATAAACTGGAAATTTTTTTTATACTGGTGTTGCAAAGAAAACCTAACCTTTCTAGACCTAATACATGCTATCTGAGGCCTAACAAGATAATATAAGATGTTTATTCAGGTAAAGGTACATACATTGAAAATGAGTTACAAACAATGTTGGATTTATAGATGAAAAATATGAAATTTTTTCAATATGAAAAAATGTGTGAACAGTATTTTTAGTAAACTAACTTGAAAGAATAATAATCAGAGAGAGAGTACCTTTCATAATGGCGTTTCATCATACTGGAAAAGGATTGGGCATTTTGTGGAGGGTTTGATGAGGTAGAGTTACCACTCATCTCTTCATAGAGCTGCTTCCAAAGCTTCTTCTCTCCAACAGCCTCATACCCACCAAGCTGCTGTACTCTTGTAAACAATTCAAACACATTCACTGCAAGGACACAATTTTTTTATAAACATAAAATATGTTGTGGTAAATAATTCTCAATGCATAGCTGCACCATTTTACAAATTTGCCTCCCAATTAAAAGAATGTGTGTACAACAATGTTGAAAATATATTAGGAAAAATCCTATAATAAAAATAATATAAATGCCAAAATGCATGAAGTGATGTGCCACTCTCAAACTTACCATAAATTAAAACAGCATTTCTATGCTGTTTTAACAGCAATGGTACTTTCCTTATATCTCATGCCATTAGCACTACAGGACACAGACTTTGTGCCCAGAAAGTCAAGTATCTCTTCAAGTTGTCTTGGCCCCTTCCAAAAGGGGATTGGAGCTCAGTGGAGAGCATACCTCAATCTATTCTGAAGTAACCATGTAAAAAAAACTTCAAATCACTTAAACTCCATTTAAATGAACCTTGACCATATATTAATTGACAAGGCCCATTCTAAAAAACTAAAGATACATCATCTGTGACTCTGGCTGCCACTAGATGACAGCTGTAGTGCTGTATGCAAATGGGTCAAGGAAGAGAGCAGGCCCTCACTTCACTGCCAGTCACCTCTCAGACTCTGCAGCTGAAAAACTCATTCCCACAGGGCAGTATGCTTGTGCCTGTACTTTTTCTCACCCTCATATCGGGCATGGGCAAGCTATACAATAGTACAGAATCATCCTTTCCAGATGACACAAGGATTTTCATGACCGTAGACATTATAGAGGATAAAATAGTATTGACAGTACTTTTGGCAACTTAGTCTAAGTTGATACTGTACCTTGAGTGAGTTCTGAGAGTTCTTCTAATTCCCAAGGCCAGTCTGGGGTAAGTCTTGATTGGTCCAAGCTTGATCCAAGAGACTGTTGCTTGGAAAGGCCTGCAGGTCCATATATTCACTACAACCCAGTTTGTCTGGTACTTCATGCAGAAAACTGCCTAATTTGTTCTTGAAAAAGTCCACTTTTGTTCCAGTAATATTTCTTTCTTGCTTGGAGAATACTAAACAGTCGTGAACTCCTGATTTTCATAGTGTTCTCTGATCATGCCTATGACATCCCTACTCTTCATTGCCTCTATTCTGTATTTTGTACCATGTCATTCACTCCAGTATGTTGTTATTTTACCATGCAAATTTGGGACCTGGCTTTCCAGTATTTTCCATGGATATATTATATGATACCTCTGCAACCTTCTTTCTAAGAGAGTATATTTTGAAATTGTCGAGACTGTTCCAATAATTTAGGTGCTTTATCATGTCTAGGTGTGCCTTGTATGTCCTCCATAATCCTTCTATTTCAGAAAACTCTCTTGCCTTGAAAGAGAAAGTGAGTACCCAGCAGTACTCAGGGCAAGAAACAACAAGAGATTTGAATAGTCAAGCACTGTGATGAAATCCCTGGAGTTGGAGATTCTCATAATCTCTGCCATCATTTTTCTGGCTGATGATATGTTTGATTTGTTATACTCATTAACCACCGTGCTGCGCCAAGTTTATTGTGAAATTCCCCCTGTGCGCATGAAATAAAGTGTTCCCAAAAATTCTTTTTTCTTCGTAAAATTATAAATTCCCTTCCCTGAATATGTGTATGTAAAAATAAATACCAAATTCCACTTACTTTGGCTGTGGGGACATGGACAAGGTGCGCTGTGACGTCATCAGGGCCTGGTCGCCCGTGCATGAATCGCCCAGACACAGTCGCGTGGGCCATTCAAGCACTGGGTGTTGCCACAAATATATTTTCAATTATTTGTTCTATGTATTTCCAATGCAGTTTTATTTGTTTGTTTTTTATTGTATATGATGCATATTTGTGTTGACCAGACCACACACTAGAAGGTGAAGGGACGACGACGTTTCGGTCTGTCCTGGACCATTCTCAAGTCATGAGAATGAGAATGGTCCAGGACGGACCAAAACATCGTCATTCCTTCACCTTCTAGTGTGTGGTCTGGTCAACATATTTTAGCCACGTTATTGTGACTCATCGCCTGCATGCATATTTGTGTCCTTTACAGTATGTATAGAATAGAACGTTCATAATGTTCCATGGAACTGTGATACATGTGTCAGTAATGTGTCCACAATAAATGTTTGTCGCAATATTTCTTGTTAACAATTCACTAAAATTACAATATGTACAGTTTCACACAGTATTTACACAGTAACACACTGTACTACACACTCAGTACTTCGGAAGTGAGTAATAATCAAGGAAGCAGTCCATGGTACACAGCGCGACTTCGCTCTCGTTGCACCAGGTACAGATAAATTTTCGCTTCCTGTTTCTTCATTCTGTGTGCTTGCAAATAACACACTCATATACACCCTTGGCTTTAGTACTTGTAGGTTCTATGTAGCCAAGCTTGTAAAGCATAATGTAGTATTGAAAAGATTATAGGAAAAGATCAATTTGTAAGGTAGTCTTGAAAAGATCGCTTTGTATGGTCCAACACAAGAAGAGATTCAGCTTGCCTCAAAGAGTGCCCATCAGTCAGAAAGAGATTCAGCTAGCCTCAAAAAGTGTCCGCCAGTCAGGAAGAGATTCAGCTATTCTTGAAAATATCTATGGAAAACACTACCATGGAAGCCGCTGACACTGTTTATCTATGCTACTTGTATCAGATGCATCATCACTGAACCCAGAAAACGATTCCTCTGTATATCATCTAAATAAATTGGAGATACATAGGATTGCAAGGGTGACGCTCAGAACTACAACTGGATACGTTCGCTGTATCGTCCTCATAGGTGCTGTATCACTTGCATCCGACCTTTGTGTTAGGTCCTTATTGCACCTAGCTTCACCAATATTATGACACTTTTGTTTTACAAACAATAAGGTTTGAATTTCACCGACAGAGCGTTATCTTTCAACATCGCGTCGGACAGGTGTTTGGGAGCCAGGAGCACGTGCGCTACCCATGGTTGCTCATTCAGTACTAATCCAGCCAGCAGCCCTAGGGCATTCTGGGAATTTTTTCCAAGATGGCTGCCTCTCACTGGAGGGTCATAAGAGTCCATTTCATACACAACCAACCTCGCACACATTTAGAATGGGTACGGAAAAATCAAAAAGAGTTTTCTCGGCTGGCGCAGTTTCCCGCCGACTGAGAATACTCGGCTGGCGCAGTTAAATGGTTAAACATCAGGTCATCTGACATAATTATTAATCTATGTTTTTCAAGATGTAATTCAATTGCTTTTGTTAGAACTGACTCAAGCAATTTTCTTACAATACCTGTTAAGTTAATTGGCTAATTACTCAATGCAAGTGTTCTATTCTCCTACTTAAAAATCTGCACCAAATTCAAAGTCCACAATGACTGTGTTACTGTGGTGAACTCTACTGTTTATTAAATATGCAAAAGAAGGGCTTACTAAATTCATATTTGCATTCTTGAAGGACCCTCGCCTTCTTGAAAAACTTTATCTGGCCCTGAGGAATAGATGCAGTTTAATTTTTATATGAACCTCTGTGTACCACAGCACTGGTGGGGAGTAATGCTCAAGGAACCTCTGTGAACCACAACACTGGTGGGGAGTAATGCTCAAGGAACCTCTGTGTACCACAACACTGGTGGGGAGTAATGCTCAAGAAACCTCTGTGTACCACAACACTGGTGGGGAGTAATGCTCAAGGAACCTCTGTGTACCACAACACTGGTGGGGAGTAATGCTCAAGAAACCTCTGTGTACAACAACACTGGTGGGGAGTAATGCTCAAGGAACCTCTGTGTACCACAACACTGGTGGGGAGTAATGCTCAAGGAACCTCTGTGAACCACAACACTGGTGGGGAGTAATGCTCAAGGAACCTCTGTGTACCACAACACTGGTGGGGAGTAATGCTCAAGGAACCTCTGTGTACCACAACACTGGTGGGGAGTAATGCTCAAGGAACCTCTGTGTACCACAACACTGGTGGGGAGTAATGCTCAAGAAACCACTGTGTACCACAACACTGGTGGGGAGTAATGCTCAAGGAACCTCTGTGTACCACAACACTGGTGGGGAGTAATGCTCAAGGAACCTCTGTGAACCACAACACTGGTGGGGAGTAATGCTCAAGGAACCTCTGTGTACCACAACACTGGTGGGGAGTAATGCTCAAGGAACCTCTGTGTACCACAACACTGGTGGGGAGTAATGCTCAAGGAACCTCTGTGTACCACAACACTGGTGGGGAGTAATGCTCAAGGAACCACTGTGTACCACAACACTGGTGGGGAGTAATGTTCAAGGAACTATATCTTCCAAAGCCTTTGCTTCTTTTAACTTATAATGGGATATTCTACCATAATAGTTTTTAAAAAGCCATTTGTTTTTTGCTCATAAAATATTTCATATGAAGCAACCATTACATTCTAAGGTGATGATCAAAGTGATATCAATGTATACTTATAATTACACATTAAAATACTGTTATTTGTACTTACACTGTTTGTAACCCATATGTGGTAATCTGGTAATGGGTGTATTACGGTCCTTCATAAACTTGTGCAGCTTAGACATAAAGTCTACCTCTATAAGACGATTCAATGCTGGCGTTGAGAAGTCGTTTTTGACCTGTGACAAATGTGCCCGAGAACTGGTCTTTCGGTCCAACACTCTCAATCCATTGGGCTTCGCAGTGAGGCCTGGCTTGCCTTTGAGTCGCGGCCTGATATCTTCTGATGTTTCAGAAGACTCGGATTCGGAATCAGTCGGTTTCTTCCGCCTCTTTCTCGGCCGACCTTGAAGCTTAGGTGCTGTTGGTGGGACGTCTAGATCAGCCAGTACAGGTCTAGTGTACTGTTGTCAATTACTTTTGCATTTGGAACATAAAAATGGGGTTCATAAAGAAAATTCAAAATGCAAGCAATTGGAGAATAGAGATTTTTTTAGTTTATTTAAAGTAGATAAATATGAAATGTGTTAAAAAGCTTAACAATTTATAAAACCTCTGTTGCAATAACTATTAAGATGTGAATTAAGTTTAATTTAATGTTGAAATTGACAAACATTGATGATTATCTAATGAGCTGGGAAATTTAATGTGTGAAACAATACCAATTCTGAGAAAGAAATCTAAGAAAGGAATAAAAGGGGTATTGTTAGAAGTCGGGCACTTACAAAGATGATTACACAGTAGATCATGACCTTCAAGTTCTGGATAGTCAAAAACATCTCTGCAGAAGAGCATTCGTGTTCGTCTGGAAGGAACCACAAAGCCACCCAATGCCACCACTATTCTACTCCGCATATATTCCTCTTCCACACCCTCCAACCTCTTGAGCAGACCTCGCATTCGACAGTACTTGTCAAATGCCAAGACAATAATGTGTAAACTATTTGGCTCCACAACATCACCTAGGGAGAATAAGGAGAACCAATTAATGTTTTCATCTACAACTGAGATACTACTGTATACTGTACTTATATGGCCATTTACTAAGCTAGCAAAAGTTTAAACTACTCCAAAGCACCATAAATTATAAGAAATACACACCAGTTCAATTAATGAATCATAAACATCCACTATACTCACCTCTACCACTGTGTAAAAACACATTCCCTACCACCACCTCCAACACTGTATAACATACATTCACTACCACCACCTGTATCTGGAGAGGATTCCAAGAGTTCTTCTACTCCCCAAGCCTGGCCCCAAAGGCATGACTTGTGATAACTTGGTCCAACAGGCTGTTGCTTAGAGCGGCCAGCAGGCGCACATATCCACTACTGCCTGATTGGTCCAGCACTTCTTGCAAGAACTTGTCTAAGTGCCTCTTGAATACATCCACTTTTGTTCCAGCAATATTTTTAAGGCTTGCTGGGAGGGTGTTGAACAGCTGTAAACCTTTGATGTTCAGACAGTTCTCTCTGTGCCTATGGCATCCCTACTCCTAACTGGTTCTATTCTGCATTTCTTTCCATATCTTTTGCTCCAGTATGCAGTTATTCTACTGTGCAAATTTGTGATCTGGCTTTCCAGTATCTTCCAGTATAATTCATATTCTTGTCCATGTCTAATAGGAGGCCGAGAATAAGTACAGCAGCAAGCACAGAACCTTAGGGGGACAGCTTTTCATGGCAGGTGATCCAAATTTTACTATTACAGTGAGTTCTTTTCATTAAGAAATTAATGGTCCATCTCCCTAACTTTGCCAGCAACTCCCTTTTGTACTCATTTTGTATTCAATAACACCTTACCTTGCTGTTACCTTGTGATGCTTTCCCCACTGCCTGGTCCTCGACTAGGCCTCCTGGTTGCTGGACTGGTCAACCAAGCTGTTGGACGAGGCTGCAAGCAGCCTGACGTATGAATCACAGCCTGGTTGATCAGGTATCCTTTGAAGGTGTTTATTGAGTTCTCTCTTGAACACTGTGAGAGGTCGACCAGTTATGTCGAAAGCTTTTATGAAATCTGTGTATATAATATCAGCACTTTGCTTATCTTCCAAAGCATCAATAGTATGTCATGGTGGTCTAAGCATTTGTACGAGGCAGGAGCACCCTGTTCTGAGTCCATGTTGTCAAGGATTATGTAGACATTTTGATTCCATGTGTTCTGTGATCTTTATGATCACAAAGACTTTTATGATATGTGATGTTAGAGCTATTGGTCTATAATTTTTTGCCTCTGCCTCCTTTACCTGGTTGATACCTGGTTGATGGGGTTCTGGGAATTCTTCTACTCCCCAAGCCCGGCCCGAGGCCAGGCTTGACTTGTGAGAGTTTGGTCCACTAAGCTGTTGCTTGCAGTGGCCCGCAGGCCCACATACCCACCACAGCCCGGTTGGTCCGGCACTCCTTGGAGGAAACTAATGTATCTAGTTTCCTCTTGAAGATGTCCACTGTTGTTCCGGCAATATTTCTTATGCTCGCTGGGAGGGTGTTGAACAACTGTGGACCTCTGACACTTATACAGTTCTCTCTAATTGTGCCTATGGCACCCTTGCTCTTCACTGGTTCTATTCTGCATTTTCTTCCATATCGTTCACTCCAGTATGTTGTTATTTTACTGTGCAATTTGGGACCTGGCCCTCTAGTATTTTCCACGTGTATATTATTTGATATTTCTCCCGTCGTCTTTCTACCGAGTACATTTGGAGAGCTTTGAGACAATCCCAATAATTTAGATCCTTTATCTCGTTCATGTATCCCGTATATGTTCTCTGTACTCCCTCTACTTCAGCAATCTCTCCTGCTCTGAATGGGGAAGTGAGTACTGAGCAGTACTCAAGACGGGACAGCACAAGTGATTTGAAGAGTACAACCATTGTGATGGGATCCCTGGATTTGAAAGTTCTCGTAATCCATCCAATCATTTTCCTGGCTGCCGCAATATTTGCTTGGTTATGCTCCCTAAAATTTAGGTCATCAGACATCATTATTCCCAAATCCTTTACATTGTGAAGTGGTGCCATCTCCACTGTTACAAGTATATATGACAGTATGGATCTAGCAGTATCTAGATCCATCTCCAAAATATGTTTAGATTCTATCTTGTGGTTACCTTATGATGGTTTTGGGGCTCAGCTTCCCTGCAGCCCGGTCCTCACTCAGGCCTCGTCATTGCTGGACTGGTCAACCAGGCTGCTGGACGCAGCTGCTCGCAGCCTGACCACTCACAGCCTGGTTGATCAGGTATCCTTTGGAGGTGTTTATTAAGTTCTCACTTGAACACTGCAAAGGCTCGGCCAGTTAACCTGACAAGGGGGCCTGAGAGCTCAGTGGACAGCACTCTGGATTTGTGGTCCTAAGGTTCAGGGTTCGATCCCCAGTGGAGGCGGAAACAAATGGACAGTTTCTTTCACCCTGATGCCCCTGTTTACCTAGCAGTAAATCGGTACCTGGGAGTTAGACAGCTGCTACGGGCTGATTCCTATGGGGGTGTAACAAAAGAGAGGCCTGGTAGAGGACCGGGCCGCGAGGACGCTAAGCCTCGAAATCATCTCAAGATATGTGTAGTGAAAGCGTGTTGAACAGTCTCGGGCCTCTGATATTGCTAGAGTTCTCTCTCAGAGTACCTATTGTACCTCTGCTTTTTAACAGGAGTATTCTGCACATCCTGCCATGCCTTCTGGTCCCATGTGGTGTTATTTGTGTGTGCAGGTTTGGGACCAGCCCCTCTAATATTTTCCACATGTAAATTATAGTGTATCTCTCCTGCCTGCACACAAGAGAATACAGATTTAGGCATTTTAGTCGCTCCCATTAGTTTAGATGTTTTACCGAGTGCATTCTAGCAGTAAAGGATCTCTGCATGTTCTCCATGTCAGCAATTTCTCCTGCTTTGAAAGGGCTGTCATTGTGGAACAGTATTCCACTCTAGAGAGCACTAGCATCTTGAAAAGTATCATCATCAGTATATCATCTCTGGTTTGAAAGATTCTGTTATCCAACTTGTCATTTTTCTTGCAGATGTGACTGCTACTTTATTAGGTAAAGTCTTCCAAGAGTACACCCAAATCCTGTACATTGCTTTTTTCGTTCAATGATATGATTTGACTGCATTTTGTTCATGATTTTCGTTTTTATATTTTCATTTTTTCCGTAGCACAGGAGCTGGAACTTATCTTCGTTAAACACCATATTATTTTCTGTAGCCCATAAAAAGATCTGATTTACATCTCATTGGAGGTTTGCCATATACTCTATGTTGTCTACTCTCAGACAAATCCTAGTGTCATCTGCAAAGGAAAATACAGTACCTCTACCTTAGATTGTGTCCTTGTCAATGTCTGATATGAGGATGAGAAAAAGTACTGGAGCAAGCATAAAACCCTAAGGGACTGAGCTCTTTACGGTTGATGGACCAGATTTTATTTTGTTGACTATTACATACTGGCTTCTATTAGTCCTTAAATTGTAGATACAACTGCTTATTTTTTTGGCAATTCCTTTTGCACGCATTTTGTGTGCAATAACACCATGGTCACATTTGTCGCAGGCTTTGCCGAAATCTATATAAATTACATCTGCGTTTTGTATGTCTTCCATGGCATCTAATGCCATGTCATACTGGTCAAGTAACTGTGATAGGCAAGGGTGCCCTGTTCTGAAACCATGTTGTCCAGGGTTATGGAGATGCTGTGATTCCATGTATTTTGTGATCTTACTTCTTAGCACTCTTTCAAAGATTTTTATGATGTGTGATATTAGTTTTTGTGATGTGTGATGTTATTATAGGGCCTGTGATAACTTTTTTTGTAATTCTTGACATATGGTGATAACCGTTCTTGTCATAGGCACAATCAGAGAACACTGTATAAACATTAGTGGTCCACGGTTGTTCAATATCCTCCCAGCGAACATAAGAAATATTGCCGGAATAACAGTGGACATCTTCAAGAGAAAACTTTATAGTTTTCTTCGAGGAGTGCTGGACCAACCGGGCTGCGGTGGGTATGTGGGCCTGAGGGCCACTCCAAGCAACAGCCTGGTGGACCAAACTCTCACAAGTCAAGCCTGGCCTTGGTCTGGGCTTGGGGAGTAGAAGAACTCCCAGAACCCCATCAAGCAGCTATCAAGCAGGTACAGTATATAGAATTCCAGGAATCCAGCCATGGTGCAAAGTAAAGTGCATGTGCATGCTGTCTATGGCTATTTCAAAATCCATTGGGATTAATGATACATCCAATTCATGGTTCGAGGGTTGGTATGACATTCATAAAGAATTTGTTTGAATCGTTGATCTTTAATGTGTTCAGGGGGTTCACTGAACACAGAACTGTACTGAGGTTTCTCTCATTTCTTTGTCGTCATCTGTGAAAATTCTATCACCCCGTATGCAAGTCATGTACAAGGGCCTAATGCTGGGTGTAGTTAAAGTTTTTGCAAAAGGTATTTAGGATCTTTCACTCTACCTCTTTAGGATTTTATATATATGATACTTGCAACTTGAGCTCAATCATATCTATTTCTCTATATAGCCTTCCTTGCCATCGTTGGAACAGTGAGGCATTTGAGTTGTTCTGCGACTTGTTTTCTTTGCCAATAGAGTGAATGCCCTTCTTGTCCCAGTTTGCATCATTTTCTTTTTTTCTTATTGGTAAGTGATTTGCAAATATTTTTAGTGCTACTGTGCCTATTTCCTCACAACACTTTTTTAGGTTTGCATTATCCAGCTGTTCGTAGCATATTTCTGTGAAGTCTTCGTTTATTTGTGCCAGTTAATCAGTTTTTATCAAAATTTAATTGGTTGGATTCTCCTTCTTTTCGATTTGAGACTAGTTACACATCCGTAAGAGGTCATTTGTGTGTGACTGTTCATTCAGACTGCTTCCTGGAATTCCCTCTGCTATAACAGTACATGTCTTGTACTTGCCACATTTTTTTCACTTTAGATGCCTTAAATTGAAATCACCAATGATGTTCGGTGCAGAATTTGTGAGGTTTTCTAAGCAGTATTCTATTTTCATAAGTTGGTCTTTAACCTGCTGAGGATTTGCATCTGGTAATTTATAAACAAAGAAAATCACCACATTTAGAATTTATATTTTGATTATCAGCATTTCCATCATATCATTTTTGGTATTTAGCAGTTCAGTTCAGAGGAGTGTGTCTTTGATGTACAGGCTGACCCCACCCTGTAGCCTGGGTTTCCTGTCACATCTGAAAATATTGTACTCTGGTATCCATATCTCACACTCAGCCTCCCACCATAACTACCACTCAGACCCCGAACACAACTACCACTCAGTCCCCGAACACAGCTACTACTCAGTCCCCGAACACAGCTACCACTCAGTCCCCGAACACAGCTACTACTCAGTCCCCGAACACAACTACCACTCAGTCCCCGAACACAGCTACCACTCAGTCCCCGAACACAGCTACCACTCAGTCCCCGAACACAGCTACCACTCAGTCCCCGAACACAACTACCACTCAGTCCCCGAACACAGCTACCACTCAGTCCCCGAACACAACTACCACTCAGTCCCCCTACCACAACTACCACTCAGTCCCCGAACACAGCTACCACTCAGTCCCCGAACACAACTACCACTCAGTCCCCGAACACAACTACCACTCAGTCCCCGAACACAGCTACCACTCAGTCCCCGAACACAACTACCACTCAGTCCCCGAACACAGCTACCACTCAGTCCCCGAACACAACTACCACTCAGTCCCCCTACCACAACTACCACTCAGTCCCCGAACACAGCTACCACTCAGTCCCCCTACCACAACTACCACTCAGTCCCCGAACACAGCTACCACTCAGTCCCCGAACACAACTACCACTCAGTCCCCCTACCACAACTACCACACAGTCCCCCTACCACAGCATCTCAAACACTTGGCTCTCAACTTACCTATTAACTTTTTCTCTCTGAGAATCTCGTTAATATCGAGAGCTCCAGATATGGGCGGGGTGTAGTGGGCGTGGTGAACAGCGTCGTGTGAGGGCGGGCCGTAGACCCCCAGCAGGCCTGTGTCCCACTTGACGCCCACGGCCGCCCGCATCCAGCCGATAACGTCCTCAGCCCGGAGGACCACTTTCTCTGACAGCGAGACCACCTCGTGCTGCGAAGAGGAAGCCATGGTTAGTCCAGTCAGGGATCAACACACACACACACACACACACACAAAAGAGCAGAGCTCAACCCCCGCAAGCACAACTAGGTGAATACAAATATACACACACACACACATCGCAATATACATCTACACAATACTAGTGCCACTCCTTGCAAACCTATACACACACATCATCCCTCGCCAGACCAAGAGGTATGGTTGAATGTGTATGTGATACTCACGAGACGAGGAGGCATGGCAGAATGTGTAAATCATTCTCCGGGAGACCAGGAGGCATCTGCAGACTGTTTCTGGAGCTCTACTCTCCAAGCCAGGCTCGGGTTGTGAGAGCTTGGTCCAACAGGCTGTTGCTTGGAGCGGCCCGCGGGCCCACATATCCACCACAGCTCGGTTGGTCCGCCACTTCATGCAAGAACTTACCTAAATGCTTCTTGAAGGCATCTACCTTTGTTCCACAATATTTCTATTGCTTGCTGGGAGGGTATAATATGTATAGTGCTTGCTAGGAGGGTATAATATGTATAGTGCTTGCTGTCAACTTCAAGCCAATATTAATAGTCTTCGACCGGGCGATGGAAAATAACATGATGTTTAACAGCGATAAATTCCAGATAAGTAGAAATGAGGAACTTAAATGAAACACAGGGTACAGGACACAGTCAGACTTAATCATACAAGGAAAACAACATGTACAAGATCTGGGAATTATGATGTCGACGACATAACATTTGCGAAGTAAACTTAGCGTCAGCTAGAAAAATGATAGGATTGATTATGAGAACTTTCAAATCCAGGAACCCCCACAGCAATGCAAATACTATGGTACTGTCCCGTCTAGAATATGATCGGCACTCACTCCCCCTTTCAGACCAGGAGAGATTTCTGAAATAGAGGGAATACTGAGAATATATACGGCATGTATAGACACGATAAAATATCTAAATTACTGGGACCGTCTCAAAGTTCTCAAGAAGTACTCATTTTGACAGGAGAACAGAAAGGTATCAAATAATATACGCATGGAAGATTCTAGAAGGCCAGGTCCCAAATTTGCACAGTAGAATAACAACATATTGGACCGAAAGATCCGGAAGGAAATGCAAAATAGAACCATTGAGGAATAGAGGTGCTGCTCGCAGCCTGACTTATGAATCACAGCCTGGTTGATCGGGTATCCTTTGGAGTTTTTTTTCGCGTTCTCTCTTGAACACTGTGAGGGGGTCGGCCAGTTATGCCCCGTATGTGTAGTGGAAGCGTGTTGAACAGTCTCGGGCCTCTGATGTTGATAGTTCTCTCTCAGAGTACCTATTGCACCTCTGCTCTTCAACGGGGGCATTCTGCACATCCTGCCATGCCTTCTGGTCTCATGCAGAGACCAGAGACCAAGAACTTGCAAGTTCTTGCAAGAAGTGTCGGACCAACCGGGTTGTAGTGGACATGTGGCCCTGTTGGCCGCTCGAACCAACATCCTGTTGGAGCAAGTTATCACCGAGGCCAGGCTCAGGGAGTAGAAGAGCTCCCAAAACCCTCCACAAGTATACTTAATTAACAGTGTGGGTGTTACCTACCCTTAACACACTACTGAACACACACACTGTTCACAACCTCTACCATGGCCGCACCACAAGAGCAACACTTGTTACAACCACCATCACAACCATTACCACAACCACCATCACAACTATATCCATTGTAACCATTACTACAACAACCATCACACCAATTACAATACTCATCACAACCAATACTACAATAACCATTATAATCCATACTACAACCAACAACACTATTAATACAACATCACAATCATTACTAGAGTAACACTAAGCAATACAACAACCACCATCACAACCATTACTACAATACCCATCACAACCATCAGTACAACACCCATTACAACACCTGTAACCTTATCAGAGCAACACACACACTTGTTCCTGCACCATCTTATCTCTCTAATCAGACATCTCCCTTTAATGTTTGCCTCTCCTTCGTTCCCCGCTCTCTCTCTCTCTCTCTCTCTCTCTCTCTCTCTCTCTCTCTCTCTCTCTCTCTCTCTCTCTCTCTCTCTCTCTCTCTCTCACTATATTGTTCTCGCTACCTTTTCACTGTCTCACTATAGTATTTCTATGGTTCTCTCTCACTATCTTGTAATAAACTACGACTGGGGTTCATTAGAAATGTCGTTGATGCTCCACAGGAAACTGGTGTAAGAACAGGAAATTGAAGAGCCCTTCACGTAGTCAGAGGCTGTGTTCTTGGAGCGCCATTTCCCTCTGTGCTCTCTACAAGCGCTCTGTTTTATAACTACTACTACTACTACATGCTATGGAACTGTTGTCCTAAATCACCTCTTCTCAAACCTTATTCTTAAGATTCATTTGAGTTTATAAATACTTTTTCATGAGGAATAACCTTTAAGGTTAAGTTACAATCGTATTTAACGTTAAAATGTAATTATTACACCAATGATGACCCTGTAGCCAAGAGGAAGTGAGAGCCTTCGGTTGGTGGGTTGACGACTATGGTCCACACTTACGAGGTGCTGACAGTATCTTGCTATAGTAGTGAATCAATATGTGTCCATTAGGGAAGTGAGTGACTGAGCACCATGCTACTGAGGGCTGCACGTTAACCCCACCAGAAGGAAGATTTGAGAAGCATCAGTAACTGGGTGAAACAGGCATGACCACATCACTAGGTCGAGCCTACACACATTGAGTGACATATGGTGTAACTCGCCCACCATGGCCCCGTCTCTCACAACCCGTCCATATGCTACTGCCAACCATCTTACCAATGTTCTCACTTCTATCACCAAGAAATATTTCCACCAAAATAAAGCTCTCTTTCATTATCACTATATGTATCTCACTGTTTCTCTCTCTCTCTCTCTCTCTCTCTCTCTCTCTCTCTCTCTCTCTCTCTCTCTCTCTCTCTCTCTCTCCACTGTCTAAGTCAAGGTCTGGTTCTACACGTAACTCTCATCGATTGGTTCTCAATCAATATCCCTCGTCCCTTCAGGCTGCAGCCCTTTCCTCCCTCCCTCCCTAGGTGAGTACACACACACACACACACACACACACACACACACACACACACATACATTCACCAGTTGAGTGACAGTTGAGAGGCGGGACTAAAGAGCCAAAGCTAAACCCCCCGCAAGCACAAATAGGTGAATACACACACACAGGGGCCGTGGCTGAATGGACAGCGCTTGGGACTCGTAATCCCAGGGTCCGGGTTTGATCCCGGACCGGCCGCCAGAGGAAACAGATGGTCGAGTTTCTTTCACCCTGATGCTCCTGTTCACCTAGCAGTAAATAGGTACCTTGGAGATAGACAGCTGTTACGGGCTGCTTCCTGTGTGTGTGTGTGTGTGTGTGTGTGTGTGTGTGTGTGTGTGTGTGTGTGTGTGTGTGTGTGTGTGTGTGTACTCACCTAATTGTGCTTGCGGGGGTTGAACTCTGGCTCTTTGGTCCCGCCTCTCAACCGTCAATCAACTGGTGTACAGATTCCTGAGCCTACTGGGCTCTGTCATATCTACATTTGAAACTGTGTATGGAGTTAGCCTCCACACCATCACTTCCTAGTGCATTCCATTTACTAACTACTCTGACACTGAAAAAGTTCTTTCTAATGTCTCTGTGGCTCATTTGGGTACTCAGCTTCCACCTGTGTTCCCTTGTGCGTGTGCCACCCGTGTTAAATAATCCATCCTTGTCCACCCTGTCAATTCCCCTGAGAATTTTGTATGTGGTGATCATGTCTCCCCTAGCTCTTCTATCTTCCAGCGACGTGAGGTGCAGTTCACGTAGGCTGTCCTCATAACTCATGCCTCTTAGTTCTGGGACTAGCTTAGTGGCATACCTCTGAACTTTTTCCAGTTTCGTCTTGTGCTTGACTAGATACGGGCTCCATGCTGGGGCCGCATACTGCAGAATTGGCCTTACATATGTGGTATACAAGGTTCTGAAGGATTCCTTACATAGGTTTTTGAAAGCAGTTCTGATGTTAGTCAGCCTCGCATAGGCCGCTGATGTTATTCTTTTGATGTGGGCTTCCAGAAACAGGTTTGGCGTGATATCAACTCCCAGATCTTTCTCTCAGTCCGTTTCGTGAAGGATTTCATCTCCCATTCGGTATCCAGTGACTGGTGTGTGTGTGTGTGTGTGTGTGTGTGTGTGTGTGTGTGTGTGTGTGTGTGTGTGTGTGTGTGTGTGTGTGTGTGTGTGTGTGTGTGTGTGTGTACTCACCTATTTGTGTCTGCAGGATCGAGCATTGACTCTTGGATCCCGCCTTTCGAGCATCGGTTGTTTACAGCAATGACTATGGTCCTATTTCCCTATCATACCTAGTTTTAAAATTATGAATAGTATTTGCTTCCACAATCTGTTCCTTAAGTGCATTCCATTTTCCCACTACTCTCACGCTAAAAGAAAACTTCCTAACATCCCTGTGACTCATCTGAGTTTCCAGCTTCCACCCATGTCCCCTCGTTCTGTTACTATTCCGTGTGAACATTTCGTCTATGTCCACTCTGTCAATCCCCTTGAGTATTTTATACGTTCCTATCATGTCCCCCCTCTCCCTTCTTCTTTCTAGTGTCGTAAGGCACAGTTCCCTCAGGCGCTCCTCATACCCCATCCTTTGTAACTCTGGGACGAGTCTCGTTGCAAACCTCTGAACCTTTTCCAGTTTCCTTATGTGTTTCTTCAGATGGGGACTCCATGATGAGGCGGCATACTCTAAGACTGGCCTCACGTAGGCAGTGTAAAGCACCCTAAATGCCTCCTTACTTAGGTTTCTGAATGATGTTCTAACTTTTGCCGGTGTAGAGTACGCTGCTGTCGTTATCCTATATATCTGTGCCTCAGGAGATAGATTAGGTGTTACGTCCACGCCCAGGCCTCTTTCTCGCGTCGTCACAGGTAGGCAGTTCCCCTTCATTGTGTACTGTCCCTTTGGTTTCCTATCTCCTA